AGGATCGGATTTCTTTCCCTCCAGGTGTCTGTTTTCATTGAAGGAGAGTCTTCCTTTATCTAGTATAAATTCTCATGGAAGGAGCATCCAGAGTGAGGTGCCATGCCCTTAAAATAAATATTTGTTCTAAGTAAACTCACAGTGAATTCTCAAGATGTCACATCCAAAAATATTTTTTTCTTCTCTGTGTGTAGAAAATGTGAAATGAAAACACAAGGGAATAGAGTGTTCAATTTCTCTTCCAGAATAATGGCATTAAAGCCACAAAAAGATGGTGGTGCTTTTGAAATAAATATTGAATACCAAGTAGCCTTCCGTGAGCTCTATTTTGTTTTTGCTCATGAAAGTGTGATCCCTGTGTTAGTGGAACTGCTTAGGGCAAAAATTGTGTATGTGCATACCTTGTGCTATAATAATTAGTGTTTTAATCTTATTAATCATATATATATATATTGAGTAGACTATAAGCTACTTAAAGGCATATTTATTCATCTTGTGTCTCCTATCATACAACCAGACATATAATAATAATAGCACAGCCGATACCAGTAGAACAAGACAAAATGAAATAAGAAGTCTTTTACTTCAAACTCCTCCCCGACATAGGATTGTACCCAAATATGATTCCTTTCACATTCTCTCAAGAAAATACATAGAAATGGGAGTCAAGGGGGAAAAATAAGAAAAGGAATCGGGAAAGATAAGAGTATGTTAAGATGTGTGTAGTAAGAGATAATTGTGAGGAGATGGAGTTATCAGGCAATGCTGGTGTGGTAAGTAAAAGGAGGAAAGACAAAACCCACTCATTTAATGAAAAAGATGTGACATATAAAGCATTGTCTTCCAGAGATAGGTAGAGGTTTCATACATTTTAATATTTTGAGATGTTTTCAATACATGTCTAATAAAGAATTTCACAAGGTCACAAGTTAGCACCACTTAACAAACACAGTGCTTCAAATTGTAAAACCGTGAGTGCTTAGAGAAAAGAAGCTGTGTTATATTTCTTAAATATGATATACTGTGTAGCATAGTTATAGGCACTGGACATGCTCTAATAAATAGTATTACATTGATTGGCCACAGCAGCAAGAAAAATTGTTTGGGGCCTAGGACTGGAGACAATGTGACAGAGAGGAGTGATCACAGCTATGGCTCTCTGTTGAAGTCGGGAAGCTGAGCACAGTAAGTCATTACTTATTGCAGTGAGGAAAGTGCAAGCTGACCTTTGCCAGAGTCTGAATCAAAAAGGAAAAATCCAGTGGAGTCAGTAGAGGGTGCTTTAGTGCTGAAAAGATTTGAGTGCACCAGACCAGAGCAATATCAAAACGTGGGCTAGCTAGATCCAACCTTCCATGAATTCCAAGACGTGGGCAGACACTCCTGTCCCACACATACAGTAAGGGTTATATGCCATCACAAATACGAGGACAGAATTGGGCAAGACATCATGGATCTGTAAGACGGGAATTAACGGCAACTAGGTTAACAAAAGGGAGAAATGAAGGCCAGGTGGGAGAAGCAGGTAAGTGTAAAAGTAGGAACCAAAGGCTAGGAATACAGCAAGCTGTTTGTGTTTTTACATGAAATCTAAGAATTCTGCTTTTAGGAAATACTATGACTATATATGTGTGTGTGTGTGTGTGTGTGTGTGTGTGTGTGTGTGTGTGTGTATATATTTGGTCCATTTGAAATGTCACTATGAAGAAATGACTCAGAAAATAAAACCCAGTAGAAGAAATGAGATTTTATTTTTCAAAATATCTCAAGGATGGACTTGTCACTGTGTTCCTGGCCTGCCCTGAGGCAACTGGGGTTTAGATGAATGTGACCCTTGTAGGTTAAACTGTAGTACTGCCATCATTCTAATAGCCTCTGATAATATCTCATCACAGCCACACTTTCAAGCTGCAAAACCCTTAACTTCTTATTTAATAAATGCTAGAAGAGAGAAGGGAGAAAAAAAAAGGCCTGTTACATGTTTACAATCTGGAAAGATTGTAATGACACCATGTGCCACATACAAGGCTGGCTTGGGGCAGATGGAAAAACTGCCTAGCAGTGGAAACTTGAATTAGCCATAAATATCAAGAATGGAGAACAGCTTTCCAAAGTAAGGCCAAGGCTCAAATTCTACTCAAGCTAACTGACTCTGGGTGGACCAAAAGCAGACCCACCCAGCTCATATAAGTCTATCTTCGAACATTATCTCACTCCCCTCCTGCTGCAAGGGCGCAGCCCTGTGCCAGGAGACAAAAGCTCTTCCTGCCTCATGGTTACAGGGAAGATCAACCCAGCATCACCAGCAAAGCCATAGGGAGGCATCTGGCGGACTCTCCCTTGGCCTGAAGCTCCAGGGCACATCAGACCTGAACCTGGACTGTGTGCACCCAGTGTTGGACATCTTTGACCCCTGGGATCAAGAGATCACTGTGAGTTCTCTGAATTTTGACATTACCTTCAGCAAAGAGGTTAAGGACCATGTCCCTTATTATTCTGCCATATTAACAAGCTTGAGACCTGCAAATTAGATTCTGGATTCTGACTTCTGGTCCTCAGTCTACTTATCACTTGATTATTAACGTATTAGAGGATTATTAATGTATTACATGGTTATTAACTTATTACATGATTATTAACTTATTACATGATTCTGAAGAAGCCCGTTGCCTGGGAAGTTTTTGAGTAGCCATAAAACCACCACACTGCAACTAGGAAAATAATCGGAATTCAAGTGAGATTGTCATTTAAATGGAAAAAGAATATGTTCAAAGAGAAATAAAACATTCACACTTATTTTATTCCTAAAATTGATTTTGCTAATACAAGTGATTGTGAAACTTTAAGAATCTATTTCTCTTATATTATCTTAAACGATGACTTTTTGTGAAAATTCAGGTCATTGGCTTTACTGGAACAATGGTAATAAAAATCCCCATTTAAAAAATGCAGGTCTTGCTACAGTTTGCTTTTTGTAAAGACCACATAAGGCACATGGAAACTTGCGGTAAATTAATGTTCCTTGTACCAAACTCCATGGAAAGAAATCTAGGGTAAAAGAAAAATAGTATATGATATGCTATACTGCATATAGTTAAATATGGTTTATTATGTTCATTCCCTGTAATACAAAGTCAACAGTTAAAAAGCCCCGTGTTAGCTGCAGCTTGCTCTCTGTCGCAGCTCTGGCTTTGAGAAGGCGATGCATTTGTGTCCACAAGCAAACCACTGGGGCACAGCTCTGCAAGCAGCTGTACAACTTCATCCCAGAGAGGTTTTTCACGAAACTGAGAGGAAAAGTGTCCTGGGCTTCAAGTAGTGGGAGGGGAATGATCGCCTGTCCAAATTCAAAGTATACAGCCAGAGACCATAAAGCATGGAAGTTTCTTAAAGCACAGAAAATGGTGTTGGATGTTTTTCAAAGCAAATATAATACCTAAAAAAACTTTTAATTTAAGTAATAAAGTACAAATATTGCCACTCTAAAATAACGCATGTCCCAAAGGGAGAGAAAGGTAATATCCACTCTCTTTTCCTTTGAATTCAGCTGGTCTTTAACCGCTTTTTATGACTTAGTCTTTAAAGTGCATAATCAACTTAGAAAGGAACAGACCAAAGATGGGAGACACAAGCTTGGTTTTCAGTGTGGATCACCTTCCCTTTTGTTTCACTCCCACTACCTCTTAATAGTCCTGCAAATCAATTCATCCCCAGATGATTAAGGGGCTAACATGCACTCTGCTGTTTCATCAATTCCACATTTGAATGAGATCATGAAGTGGCTCCATTATGTTATTAGTTACAAAGCTCTTCTGGGTGGTTCCTGACTCTCCTCCCAGGCCCTTCCCTCCAACACACACACACACACACACACACAGAACCTCTTTCTCAAGCTACTGCTAACACATGCCATGACAGCTCAACTACTAAAAGAGCAAAACTACTAGAATTTGGCACTTCCCTCACATTGCTCATTTCCTCCTCTCGTGCGCCCCCAACTCCACACCTATTGTCTCAGTGTATCCCCCAATTTCACAAAGCAGCTATTAGACAGGGCTAAGGTAACAACAGAGTGTATATAAACTCTGTGTGTATTCTTGAGTGGATGTAGGTGTTGTGTTGTTAGGTACAAGGGTGTGTGTGTGCGTGTGTGTTAAGAGGAGAGGGAGTTTTATGTTCTGTACATTAAGTAAGGAAAGAATTTGGTACATTCCTCTCAAAAAATATTTTGTTAAGTTATTAGAACAGTCAATTCAGAAATTGATGGTCTAACAAAGTATACCTGGGGTAACAAACATACCCTAGCTTTCTGTGGGTAAAGGGAAAAGGGCAAGCAGGACAGTGCAGGACAGGGATCAAAGTCGGCAACCAAATGAGCAATGGGGAACCATGGTGCATCTTGGAAAGTTTGGACTTGACCATTTCTCGAAGTGTTCCTGGCTGTCAGGCAGGATTGACAGTGCCAGCTGCTCAGTGTCACCAGGCAGGGGGACAAACAAGCCCCCACACGTCACCCAGAAATGCCAGCTAAGGGTCATCCGCTGGCAAGCCCCCGGGGTACTCCGAGAAGCAGAAAAAGAATGGGAAAATGAGACCTGCTCACAAGGGCTGCCTTCCTGCCTCCTCTCTACTGAGTCACACACACACACACACCTCCCAAAGCCTCAGGTTTGACAAAGAGCAACCATGCACCCTGCAGCCCACCCTGGCAAGCTCTGTAGCAGTCAGCTGGAGCAGCCTCCAAACGCAGGCTTCCCACGACAAAGGCTTCCCTCCTTCTGCTCAGAAAAGCACACTCTCCTTAAACCTGACCTGACAGCCCTCCCAAAAACATGCCTCAGTCTGCAGTAAGTCAGTTTTGAGAGCAGTCCTATCAGCAACCACACCAGGCAGCCCCTCTCCCACTCCCAGCACCTTCATCCGCTGGCAACCAGAAAAGTGGCACAGGGTGCAAGCACACTTAAGCCCCCTGGGGGAAATCACACATTCCCTCCGCTTACTTTGAGCTGCAAATGTCCTCCCTGGCGCTCAGGCTGCCTTTGTTGGAAGGGGCGAGGTTTGCCGCTGCTGGAGTCCAGGTACCCTGCGCGCTGCTGCTCCTGCCTGGGCGGCCGCTGCTCTGCTCTTCTGTACAGACGACTCACTGGTCTCTTTCTTCCTCTCTCTCCACTTTGGATTTTCCTGTGCTCTGGGGCTCCCTTGGCGGGATTTTTGGACTGGAAGGCGGGGAACCTGATCTGCTTTTGACTCAATTACGCCCTGACAGGGAGGGAACGGAAGGGAAATGGAGAATGGGAGGGATGGGAGAGGATGCAGGCTGGGCGAGGGAGGGAGAGTGCTTTTCACCCGAGAGCTGATTGGGAAGCTTATTAAAAGCAGGCTACTCCAGGGGCAGTCTCTCCCCGTGGAGCAAGAAAACGGATTTGAACCAAGAAGCCAGGAGATGTAAGACTGTATTGTTTTTAGCAGAGAGACGGAACACAGTCTAGCTTTTGCAAACCCCATGCATGCTCGGTGCTTTCCGGGGGCGCATTCCCCAGTTTACCAAGTTAACCTATCACACACAGTGACATTTTAGGTTGCAGTTTTGGCCCCTGTCATTTTTTAAAAATAATATTCAGGATGAAAAAAACAGCTTCTTGTTCTTCCCCACCCCCAAACGCCCTCCCTACACAGAAGAACCCCAGCCAAATTCAGCTGTCAGTCCCAGCCCACCTGAGCCTCCCAAAGTGTGCAGAGTACTTTTCTCCATTGTCACAGAGTGACAGATGTCTTCAGGTTCCTAATTAAGTGCTGCTTTCCTTTAGATTAGGGTTTTTTATTGTATTATTTGCTTCTGTGGTGCTTTTATGAGCCTTTGTAATGATAAGCCTTTGACATCGACAAAGAATTTAGGGGATTGATCAATGGAGCTCAAATGCTAGGTTTTATAGAACTCAGAGGCTGGGCTCCTTGACTTTCAGGAATTCCATCTCATTCAATGGAAGAAAGATGCTGAGATAGTAGAATTGGGACTGCTGAAGTCATATGTAGATGAATATTTATGGCATAGATGAGATTAAAAGTGTTGTATGAAATGATTCAGACTTACAAAGCAGATTTCCACTAACATTTACAGAAGTGAATTGTGAAGTGTTCTGTCTCTTGTCACTTCTTTCCAGCTCCTTCCAATGCTCCTTTTATGTCCTTGCTATCACCATTTGGCCACAGCCCACATGCCGGCTGCACCCCCCCATTTGGTTGTGGTTTGTTTGTCCATTTCTGTGGTTCTGAGCTCACGTCCTTCTATTCAATTTGACAAATATTTGTTAAGTACCTTATTTAACTCTTTTCCATTCACTTAAAACCACCCCTGACATCCCAAAGTAGAAGCACTGTTTTGTGGCAGGTAGCTTTTCAGGGATCTGAGGCTCTTCCATCGATTGCAACAAGCAGAAGTGTCCCACGGAGGAAGGAGTCAACTGGGGGCCAAGAAGCAGCTCGGCAAGTAGAGCTTTTAATCAATCAATCATTTTTTTTTTATTTTTTTTTCCACAAGGAGGTGCATCAGAAATTCCATTAGGCACTTTCTATCTATCCCCTTAAGGAAACTCTCCAGACACAGGGCGTACACCAACCTCCAATGAAACACAGATTGCAGCTTCCCTGTTCTCACAGGAGCCCATTCTCCCCGTGAAGCATCTGCTGGTAACTACCGACTGGAGGGATGCGCATGACCTTGACTAGGGTTATTTTTCCCAGACCCGTTACTGAAAGTGATGTCTCAGGGTTTCCCACCACTCTGCAAGGGCCGAGTTTCCTTCCTAACCTGTATCTTCACATCTACAGGTGAACATGTTGCCACCAGTCAGGTGGACAACGCAGGGCTGATCGTGGTGCCCATTGCTAAAGGTCATAAAGGAAGCATGAGATTCTCATTATTTCACTCAATTATATGCATTATATCAAAATAGGATTTTATTAAAGTAGGTATGTGTGAAAATGACTTACATCAATGGTTGTCAGACAGGAGTAGGTGCCCTCCAAGACGTTACCTGACAACATCTTTTCTTATCACAGTCTGAGAAAAGGGGTAACCCTGACACCTAGTAGCTGGAGGCCAAGGATGCTGGCCAAGTTACAGGATAGCCCCTTTACAATAAAGCATTATTATTTTTTAAAATTTATTTGTTTGTTTGAAAGGCAGAGTTACAGATAAAGAGAGGGAGAAAAGTATTTCATCCACTGGTTCACTCCCCAGATGACCCTAACAGCTAGACAATAAAGCATTATTTTACCCAAAATATTAATATTTTGAAAATACAATAGAAGATTAAATGGAGTTCTTTTTCTCTTTTCTTCCCCAGAAATATTTTATTTAAGGTAAACTTCATGCATTTCATAAATACAGCTTTAGGAACATAGTGATTCTTCCCACCCTACTCGCCATCCCACCCACACTCCCACCCTTCTCCCTCCTCCCTCTCCTATTCCCATTCTTATTTTTATTCAGATCTATTTTCAATTAAATTTATACACATAAGATTAACTCTACTATTAGGTAAACAGTTAAACAAATAGTATGAGAAAAAAAAAAAAAAACTGTTCCTTGCAGCCAGCACAGTGGCACAGTGGGTTAACACCCTGGCCTGGAGCGCCAGCATCCCATATGAGCACCAGTTCAAGACCCCGCTGCCCCACTTCTGATCCAGCTCTCTGCTATGGCCTGGGAAAGCAGTAGAAAATGGCCCAAGTCCTTGGGTCCCTGCATGCATGTGGGAGAACTGGAGGAAGCTCCTGGCTCTTGGCTTCGGATAGGCACAGCTCCGGCCGTTGTGGCCATCTGGGGAGTGAACCAGTGGATGGAAGACCTCTCTCTGCCTCTCCTCTCTCTGTGTAACTCTGACTTTCAAATAAATAAATAAAATCTTTAAAAAAAATCTGTTCCTAACAGTAGAGACAAGGGTTGTTCAAAGCCATTGCATCTCAATGTGTCAATGTCACTTCTATAGATTATCTATAGGTTTTGTTTTTTCAATAAATCAGAACCAATGATATTGAGATTAGTCATAATTTAATTCAACCTAGCATTCACAACATAGCTTAAGTATAATGAAGGAGATGTACAATTTGGGAAATGCTCAATAGGACTTGCCCCAAAAGGTGGAGTTAGAATCATGCCAGGGGATCCCAATACAATCCCATCAAAGGTGGCATGTACCAATGCCATCTCACTAGTCCAAGTGATCAATTTCAGTTCACAATTGATCACATTGATAGGTCTAAGAGTCAAAGGGATCACACAAACAAGACTAGTGTCTGCTAATACTAGCTGATAGAATCAAAAAGGGAGAGAACAATCCAACATGGGAAGCGGGATACACAGCAGACTCATAGAATGGCAGATGTCCCAAATAGCACTCTGGCCTCATAATCAGCCCTTAAGGCATTCGGATATGGCTGAAGAGCCCATGAAAGTATTTTAGGCCTGGAAAGCCAAGACACCCTGGAAAAAAAACAAAAGACCTAAATGGAAGATCTCTGCGAGTGAGATCCCAGTGGAAAGAACGGGTCATCAAAGAAGGAGGTACCTTTCTCTGAAGGGAGGAAAGAACTTCCACTTTGACTATGACCCTGACGGAATAAGATCAAGGTCAGCAAACTCAAAAGGCTTCCATAGCCTTAGCAACTCATGACTAGAGCCTAGGGAGATTACTGATGCCATAAACAAGAGTGTCAAATTGTTAAGTCAACAACAGGAGTCACTGTGTACTTACTTCTCATGTAGGATCTTTGTCCTTACTGTGTTGTCCAAAGTGAAGTAATGCTATAACTAGTATTGAAACAGTATTTTACACTTAGTGTTTCTGTGTGAGTGCAAACTGATGAAATCTTTACTTAATATATACTAAATCGATCTTCTGTATATAAAGATAATTGAAAATGAATCTTGATGTGAATGGAATGGGAAAGGGAGCAGGAGATGGGAGGGGTGTGAGTGGGAGGGAAAATAAAAAAAATACACAATTACTCTTAGGTGTTTAATTAATGCTATAACTAGTACTCAAATATTATTTTACACTTTGTGTTTCTGTGTGGGTACAAAGTGGAAATCTTTACTTAATATATGCTAAATTTATCTTCTATATATAAAGATAATTGAAAATTAATCTTGATGTGAATGGAAGGGGAGAGGGAGTGGGAGAGGGGAATGTTGTGGGTGGAAGGGAAGTTATGTGGGGCGGGGAAGCTATTGTAATCCATAAGCTGTACTTTGGAAATTTATGTTCATTAAATAAAAAAAAAGAAAAAAAGAAAGATAAAATAAAATATATATAAGGCAAAAAAAAGTACAATGTACTTTTATGTACCCAAAAATGTTCAGCCTAAAATCCAAACCCTATCCCTGAGAGAAGACATTCGGTGCAGTGGTTAGGATGCACCTTGAGATCCTGCATCCCGTGTTGGAGAGCCTACGTGTGAATTCCAGCTGTACTCCTGACTCCTGATTCCTGTTCCAATGCAGATCCTGGGAGGCAGCAGATGATGGCTCACATGCTAGGTCCCTGCCACCCGAAGTTGGTTGAGTTCCTTTCTCTTGGTTTTGGCATAGCCCACCTGCAGCTGTTGTGGGCATTTAGGGAGTGAACCAGCACATTGAAAATCGCTCTCTTTCTACCTCTGCCTCTCTGACTTGCAAATAAAACAAAAAATTTCATCTTAGGGCATGGTTATGGGTCTGTTGATCCATGATTTCCAGTCATTTCACTCATTTGTCCAACATCCTGTGAGTACTTATGATTAGGAATGAATAGAGCTATGAAAAAAAATTCCCTAATTTTCATCCCTGTTTCTAATTAATCAATCAGTTCTTGAAGAGTGGAAACTAAAATAATGACGGAAAGTAGAGTGATAACTTGAACGAGAAAAGTCTCCCTGGGTTGGAATTGGAATGAAGCCTTAAAAGATTCAAAATAGTTGGCCTAGTATATACTTGGAAAAACAGCCCACAAGTAGAGGGATCCTCGATGCAAAGGCCCTTCAGTCTGAGCTTACAAGTTGCAGCACGATGGTGGGAGGAGGCCACTGTAGCGGGAACTCAGTGAGGAGACAGGCAGTGAGGGAAGCACTGGGCTGGATCCCTCAGGGCCTTTGCCTACTGTAAGGAATTCCATGTTTACCGTAAATGAGATGGGAGCCACTAAGAGTCTCTTGTGTTGAATGGACCATAAGAGGGCAAAGGTGGAAGCTGAGGTCCTTGGACAAGGCTACTGCAGTAACTACTTACCAATGTCTGCTCCTTGTTCCTAGTTCTGGTGAAGAAACACTCACTCTGAATCTGCCCTGGAACACGTTCTCCATATTTTTTTTGACAGGCAGAGTTAGACAGTGAG